TTGACAACGTTCAACATAATGTTCAAAGGGTTTTCAACTGGTGTCTTGCTGGGAGATGGGGTACAATCAAATGAAGATGTATTTTGATCATCTTCATAACATGATGGATGATAAATCTTTCCATCCACTCTCATGGCATTCTTTAAATGCCACTCCTCCTCTTCTTCATCCCAGTATTGTTCAAATTGTTCTTGACAGATTTCACAACTCTCCTCTGCTCCAGCTGGCCCTGCCGGTACACTTTGGAACTCCTTTTCTTTAGCAGCTTCCTGAGTTTTGAGCACAACTTCTTCATGCACCTTTTCAAAAAACTGGCTCTTTGCACGTTCTTCCAAATCAGCTATTTCCTCAAATTCTATCCAGTCTGTTAAACTGTAGTACCAACGTCTATGAGTAACTTTTCTGCTAACGTCTTTTTCAGTTCTATTTTGCCGATAATGCCAGTCCAAGTGATCTGCATATACATCTGCCTGTGATGTTGTAAACCTCATTCCACAAGAGTAACACTGAATACCAGTGTACAGTCGATTTATAACACTATCATAACGTTGTTTTAACTCTTCAGTTGTAAAATTGGTAAGATCTGGAATATCTCGATCTTCATTTTGATCTTCCTCCTCTTCAGTGGGAGACTGAGCAACAACTTCATTTACTTGTGTTGTAGCTGAATCAGGCAGGGACAATTTGAGAATTCCTGTTTTTTGCAGTTTTGAAAATAATTCATTGACATCCACCTGACTGAGGTGATTATCAGGATATGCCTTAGGAAGGGCTCCTGAAGGATTCTGAAGAAATGCTCCAGGATTTTGTGGATGAACTGGTAAAAATTGTTGTCCCTGGCCAAATGGTACTGGCTGAGCAACACCAGTCAGAACCTGTTGAGATGCCTGAATGTTTCCTACTGTTATAGGAGCAGGTAAATTGCCAAAGTTTCCAAATTGAGGACTTTGAAGATTCTTTTCATCAAAATAGTGTCCAGAAGTTCTGCTAAGAGGATTTGAGAAACTCTGGTTCCCAGGGCCATGTGGTCCATTAAAATTGGGTCCTTGAGGTGAGTCAAATATTTGTTCGTGTCTTTGGAATTGCAGTCCTTGGGATGGGGCATTAAAAGTATTGCCAGGTGGCTCATGATATGGGCCAGTCTGACTGAAAGAAACGGATTCAAGCCTTTGTGAAGGATGATTGTCAAATCGTGTGCCTTGAAGACCAAGAGGAATATCAAACCTTGATGCTTGCTGGTGTTGCGGACCATCAAATCTTTGAGGAACACCATCAAATCTTGGTTGAACCCGCTGTCCAGGTGGTCCATCAAATCTCTGTGGGCCTGGTTGACCAGTTCTTTCAAATCTAGGACCTGGTTGACCATGTAATCCATCAAATCTTGGTAAGAGTGATGACTGACCTGGCTGCCCATCAAACCTGAAAGCATGACATCCTTCAAATCTTGGACCACCTTGACCCAGAGGCCCTTCAATTCTCAGTCCACCTCCTGGTACAGGACCCTCAAACCTCATTCCACCTTCTTGCTGGACTAAAGGTCCCTCAAACCTGATCCCAACCCCTGGTTGACCAAGTGGACCCTCAAACCTAAGGTTTCCATCAAGCTGATTATGTTGTCCTTCAAACCTCAGACCAGCTACTGACTGACCATGGGGGCCCTCAAACCTCATTCCAACTCCCTGCTGTAGCAAAGGGCCCTCAAATCTGATCCTACCTGCTGGCTGACCATGAGGTCCATCAAACCTAATTGCAGCTCCTGATGGACCATGACCCCCCTCAAATCTATGTCCACTTATAGGCTGACCTCTGGGATTATCAAATCTAAGTCCACCCACAGGCCAACCATGAGGTCCCTCAAACCTCAGACCTCCCACAGGTTGACCCCGATGTCCCTCAAACCTGAGCCCACCCACAGGCTGGCTCCGTGGTCCTTCAAATCGTAGACCACCTGCAGGTCCCTCAAACCTCAGAGCCCGGGAACCTTCAAACCAAAAACCACCTCCGTCTGCTTGACCAATTGGCCCTTCAAACCGCAGAGGTATCCCTACTGGTCCTGGAGGACCGTCAAATCTCAAAGGACACCCGCCTCCTAGCTGACCTTGTGGTCTTTCAAATCTCAAAGGACCACCTTCCCCCATTTGTCCAGGTGACCCATCAAATCGAAGAGAACCTGGTGCAGGAGGTCCATCAATTCTAGGGCTTAATTCATTAGGTCCTTCAAAAATCATCTTGGTTGGGCCATCTCTTGTTACTGATGGCCTACTAGGTCCATCAAATAACGGTCTGTCTTCAGCTAATGCTGTAAGTCGCTGATTTGTATCAAGGCTGGCGAGTCGTGATGCTGGGCTATCTACAAATGGTTTATCTGCATCTTCACATCTAGGTCGCTTGAGTGGAAAACGATCATTGAATGGTGACCTCTGCTCTTCTCGTACACCTTCTTGATACTGAAATAGCTGTCGAATCTGATGCACAGCAACAAGGAACTCATCCTGTGTAATTTCACCAGATGCTAAACATTCACTCGTCTTTTGAAGTAATTCTCTTTTGCTTGCAAGAGTTAACTCTTCCGGAATCTGAAGATTGGCATCTACACTTAATCGATGCTGTTGCTTTGGGGCTCGAGGTGACAAAATTCCTTTAGTGCTTGACCAGCTTTCCCTATGGTCGGCACCTTGTTGTAAGCTTTTATTTTCTTCCCAACCAGATTTCCATCTTTTGTTAGACTTGGAATTTGACCAATTTCCCACATTCTCCTTTGGTTCAGTGCCTGACTTTGTAGAATGTTGATTTGTAGTTTCTTGCGGTCGTTCCTCTTCAGTATTTTTTATTCGCTTTGGATCTCGAACATCCTGTTCAGTACTTCTCTTAGCATTTCTTCCTTCCCTGGAAGGTGGCATAAAGTCTTCCATATGTGACTGCTTGCATCCAGATTGGCGAATCTTTCCAGCTGAAGGCTCTTCAGGCGATTTATTTAAAAATTTAGGATTCACATGGATGCTAGATGTATTCACATTGGGAGGTAGAGGTTGAATAGGCCAAGCAGGATCTACTGAATTGACTCTGACATCCAGGGCATAAAGTTTCTTCAATGGGAATATCTCATTCCACGTGGAACGTAATTTAAATAAACTTTTTCTAGTATTTTCATCCACCTTTTCAAACACACAAATAAATGTTGCAACTAGATTTTTAGTGAAGGCAGTGAGATACTCTCGTCCAACGTTTTTCACGATAGAATCCATAAGGTACATAACAGGAAGCTTCTCTGAGGATGGAGCCTTGGCGGCTTGGGCCTCGATGAGAGAGACGATCTCCTTGGCGAAGGGCAGGTTCTCCTCGGCTAGAATGGTCAGCATATTGATGTACGGTTTGCTATTGAAGGTCAGGTCTTCGAGGGATGACTGATACTCCCGACAGACGTCCTCCCGGGCCCCAGCGGGACCGGCCTCGGCCGGCGTCGGCTCCGACATTGCGCCGTGGCCCGTCCGCCGCAGCTGTAGCCGCTCTGGACACTCTCGACACCCCGCCTCCCTCCCGACTGTGCTTCCTCTCCCGCTCCGGCCTCACCAAATGCTGACCGCGGAGGGGGGTTGGGGTACGACGCGGGGGAGGGGGGGAACCGCGGGTACGCAACACCGCCCTCTCACGGGTGATCTCCGTCCACTTCCAGCCGCCTCAGGAGCGTCTTTCTCCGCAGGCACAAAGGGGCACCGGCGCAGGCGGCTCCAGCTCCGAAAATGTCTGTGTTCCGAACCGCTGAGTCGTGCGAAATGCTGTTCCTCCTATTCTTAAAATAGGAGTCGATTTGCAGGAAGTCCAACCACCGTGCTAGTATTTAGTTCTTCCTATGGGAGTGTCCCCGTGGACACCTGCCGCGCACCCCGCACTGCAGTGATTGGGACAGGAAGTGGGTGGCACCTGTTACCAGCCCCAGGAGGTGGGGCTTGCCTGGCCTTGTTTAGGCATCAGCTGCAGTAACTTGTGGCTCCACTAGGCGGCAGGGCAGCAGCACTGGACCTTCCATCTGAGAGGGGCCTGGGCCAGTCCTGCCTCAGCCTTGCAGCATCCCTGCCCCTCCCAGGCCGAAGGGGTTCTGGCCTAGTCTTTGGTCTCGCCTGGGGCCCCTCCAGTTACTGTCACTGCCTCCTGACAAGGCCTTGTCTAGGGCTACTGTTGGGGTCCTACCGCAGCAGGTCCAGGGGTTCCCAAAGGTGTGGACGGAATCGGCGAAGAAGGAATGACACGGAGTCAGCAGCTTTCAGTTGATCAGCATAGCGAGGTTCTCTATCCAGGATCTCCAGCCAGGTTCTGTGTTTTATTGTCTTGTTACATCTGTATTTATACCAGTTGATTTTAATCCTATCAATTTCTATTCCAAAGGTTAGGGCGTTTCTTATCTCCATTCCAGGGAATAAAGATTATGTAGCTTAAGCGTGATTGTTTATAGTTAAAGTGATTAATTACCCGCCTGGCACTTAGTTAAGGGGTTTTATTCCCTCCCTAACTCCAGGGAAAAATCCTCACCTGGAGAAACAACCTTTCTCGGGGAGGTGGTCCTGTTTAAAACACAGCATTAAGAGGGGGAGCAAACATATGCCATATACGCCAGGTCCCTTGAAACATAAGCTGTGCAGAAGTTTCTTCCCTGCAGTGATTGTGTCAAGCATCAAGGGCGGACCGGCTTCGGGCAAGCTACCAGCCCCAGGAGTGGCACCCACGTTGACCCCTGGGAGCAGACAGTGAGCCGCACCTGTCCATTCTCTCCTGCCCTCCCAGCTGCTCTGGCCGCAGACAAACCCCATCAGTTTCAGCACCTGCCTCCAGGTGGCCTGGGTCCCTGCCCCTGCGGGCTTTGTGTATCCCAGTGCCCCACACATCCTCTGGCCTAGCTGCCCCCAGGGCTCCAAGCACTCGTAGAACATATGGGGGTTGGCCTCAGTGTCTCCAAGCCCACTGCCCCATCTGCCTGATGCCCATGTACCCCAGGCCTGTCCCCTTCACATCCTGCTCAGTTCCACTGTCCCACGCACTTCATACAGGGACATGCCCCAGGATGAGTCCAGGCGCTCCGGCCCATTGGTCTGAAAGAGCAGAGAGCCTGGTCACCTTGGCCGGACACTACCCAAGTTTCCCTCCCTGCCCCCCGCTCCAGCTCCCCCATCACAAGATTGCTGGACCCCAAAGCCCCACCTTGTGCGCCACCCGACTCACCAGCCTCCGCTTCTCCAGACACACACTGAAGCTCCTGGCTCGGTTGGGCACCATCTTCCTCAGGGGCACCCGCAGCTCCCCCAGAGGAGGCACTCGCCGCCGCTGTGGCCGCAGCCGTGGGTCCTCACACACACACAACCTGGTGGCCACCCAAGTCAGACCTGGGCAGGCAAGCCCCACTCCACCCTGTTCCCTCGGGGCCCAGCCTCAAGCCTCACCGCAGGGTCTTGCGCCTAGCGTCCTGGTGGGTGAAGCCGTGATAAGTGAGCATCTCTTCCCAGACAGGCCCCCTTGTGCCCCGAACTGTGCATGTCCTCAGCTGGCTGGTCTGAGGGCCAGGCAGGGAGGGTCAGGACCTCCTCGGTCCCAGGGCTGCACCCTGGCCACCTCCCCGATAGAACCCCTACTTGTGCAGCCTGATGCCCAGGCCTTGTGGGGAGGATCTGGCCAGGACGAGTGAGTGTGTGGCTGAGGGGCAGCAGCAGGAACCTGGGTCTTGCCCTCACCTTGCTGGCCCCTGGCAGCAGATTGGCTTTAACATAGGTGTCTAGGGAGCCTGAGGCTGGTGGCTTAAGGCCCTGGGAAGAAACAATAGATATGGGAGAGGCCTGTGGCCCAGGCCCACAGCTCAGGGACCCCCGCCCATCCTTACCTTGGCACGGTGAGCCGTGCAGTGCAAGGTGCTGTTGTCCGCATCAAAAAGAAGTGTGAACTCGAGTGTGCCCAGGGTAGCTAAGGGCAGGTGGCATGCAGGTCAGTTCCTGTGGCACCCTGCCACCGTGGCACCATGTCTCCTGCCCTGGCCCTCACAGGTCAGATGCCTGGGATGCCTGAGACCCTACCCTGGCTGGGCTGGGCCGGGCCCAGGGTGTCCCCATCCCTTGCCCCCACTCACCGCTGTCGTCTGAGTCTCCCTCTGGCTCTGGGTCTGGCTGCGGCTGGGGTGCAGAGCTGGTGGGAGACACTGCAGGGTGTGGGTCTGGGACACCCCGGGCAGGCTCAGTAAAGGGGTAGAAATGCGGGAGGTAGTCAGAAATGAGGGGGATGGGCTGGATGGGTCCCGGGTTCACATCGATGGCCATGTGCTCCTGCATGCTCACCCGCTGTGGGCGCCTCCAGCCCGCTGCCGTAGTGCCCGCCATGAGGGCTCAGGCAAGGGGAGGGGACTCAGACAAGCCCCCTTGGACTGGATATGAGGGGGCCACACGGGGCCGAGACATGGTAAAGAGGCATCACTGAGGGTGCTGAGAAGGGTCCTGGGTGGCAGCCGGGGACCTGAGGACAGAGGGCAGGGTTGGGTGGGTGGGAAAGAAGTGGGGGTCTGGAGCCTGGAGGGGGGCCCCGTGTGCTAGCAGCACCTGCTGGCCTACTTACCTGAGAGCTCCGCCAACTGGCTCTGTTCGCTGCTGGCACTGGATATCCATGGTGAATATTTTTATGTGCTCTTCATATTTTGAAAAATATAAAGAATAAGTCATATGATGTTCCCAAAGAGTTTATAGTCTTCTTTGGGAGAAAAGATATATATAGAAAATAATCAGATTATAGTCAAAGACAAACAACTTGTACTTAAAGATCTATATCTCCCCACTCAACTTTTTTTTTACCTGTATTAAGAGACAGGTTAGGCAGAAATATGAATTCAACTCATATGTGTAAACCCACTGGTATCCATTTTTAAAACAATCTACTCTTTACCATGTTTGCATGTCAGCTTATTGAAATGGAGACAAGAATGTACAAAGCATATTCATGGACCCATGAGCTGTCAGTTTTATCTGTAGCATACGAACTTTGTAGAGTGTTTTAGAAGAATAACCCTAAAAAGATATGGCCTATCCACATTGTAGAGTATCTTAAAAGCAAAGCTCTGGCTAGGTTTACTTTAACACTAGAAAGACGGAAACTTAGTATATACCGATATTGCCCCAAAGCAGTCAAAATGACTGCATTGTGAAAGAATAATATCGGAGCACTCTTCACTTACGTTCCTTAGCTTTTCCAGTAACTCCCTTCTATTAGACATTTCTTTCATGAATTTTGGGCGCAAAAGAAATAAAATAACAATTTATTAGAACAGGTATCACTGCATAAAGATTCGAATAACAAGTACTAGTTTAGCTTATTGAGCAACGGCGACTTATCAAGTATCGACAATTTATCATGTACTTGTATGTTATCATGTGACGGTAATCGAAAAAAAATGAAAACTGTTATTTCAATACAGAGCCGAACTGGTCATATAAGAAATTTACTCAATTCAATAATAAGAGTCATTTGATTATTTAAAATTTCCCCAAGCAGTCAAAATGACTGCTTTTGGGCAATATAGGTATAACACATATATATATATATATATATACACACCGGAAATGAAGGAGGGGGGAGGTAACTACAATTATTAATAAACGCATTTATATGTTGTACAAAAAGTCACAAAATTCTAAGACATTGTGTCCTTACATACATAATTGTTTTTCTAATTGAAATTAAAAAGCAGTCAAAATGACTTCCTTGGGCAATCTAGTGTTAATAGGTATAGTTGCTACTGAGAGTCTTTAAACAGGGCCAAAACTTGAAAGATAACCTATCAGTAATAAATTTATCTACACATGTATGAATTATGAGGAGGAAATCTGCTCGGAAGGTATGGGATTCTTCATGACCAGTGAGGAAAGAGTGAACTACGAAGAACTACTAGGGAGGGGAAACATGTGCAGATCTAAGACAGGTCAATGCTGTAATATGGGCATTAGCATACCTTGTTTTATTATGCTTATGCTTTGTTTACTGTACTTCACAGATCTTGTGTTTTTTATAAATTGAAGGTTTGTTGCAACCCTGCATCAAGTAAGCCTATCGGCCATTTTCTCACAGGCTCAGGTGATAGTTAGTTAGCATATTTTAGCAATATTTTAAAATTCAGGTGTATACATTGTTTTCTGTAGACCAGCAGCTCTCAACCTGTGGGTTGCGACCCCATTGGCGGTTAAACGACCCTGTCACAGGGGTCGCCTGCATATCAGATATTTACATTACAATCCATAACAGTAGCGACATTACAGTTATGAAGTAGCAACGAAAATGATTTTATGGCTGGGTCACAACATGAGGAACTGTATTTAAAGGGCCAGAAGGTTGAGAACCACTGCTGTAGACAAAATGCTATTGTATACTTAATAGATTATGATATAGCGAAAACATAACTTTTATATCCACTAGGAACCCAGAAAAATTGTGTGGTTCACTTTATTGTTATATTTGTTTTATTGCAGGGTGTCTGGAACTGAACCTGCATTATCTCCAAGATATGTCTGTGTAGTTTTCAGAGGCATTTTCCAAGAAGTGGTGTTTTAATTTATGTGAGTAGATGGGATCACTTAAAGAAAGACTACTACCACAGAGAGAAATGGGAAAGACAAAGAAGAGGGAGCATCCCCATTTAGGAAGAAAGAAGAGGACCAATGAGCAAGTCTTAATAGTGGTAATGAGGGAGTATGCAGCATCATAAAGTCCATCTGGAAAATAAGGCATGTGCTTTAGTCTGTTAGAGCTGCTGAACAGAGTGCTAGAGGAGACTTAAACAGTAAACATTTATTTCTCACAGCTCTAGAGACCAGAATTCTAAGATCAGGGTGCCAGCATGGTTAGGTTATCGGTGAAGGCTCTCTTCCTGGCTTGCATATGGCTGTGTCCTCACATGGCAGAGGAGAGATCATCTCTCCCATGTCTCTTCCTGTAAGGGCACCAATTCCATTCATAAGGGCTCCTCCCTCATGACCTAATTACCTCCAGAGGCCCCTCCTCCAAACACCATTGCACTGGGGATTAGGACTTCAGCATTTTAATTGGGGGACAAGGGGAGGACATAAACATTCAGCCCATAGCAGTGTGGATGACCAAGATGCTCATCTTTCAGAGTAAAGAAGTTAAAAACTAAGATGAAGTCAGTCAGTCATAGACTACTAGAGGCCCAGTGCACGAATTCATGCATGGGTGGAGTCCCTCGACCTGGCCGGTGATCGGGGCCAATTGGGGGGTGAGGGGGGGGGGGGTGGCCGGCCAAGGGGAGGGACTGTGGGAGGTTGGCCGGCCAGCCTCCCATAGGAACTGATTGCAGGGGGTGGGGGAGCGGGGGGGGGGAGGGGTGCATGCAGCTGGACACAGGAGGTTGGCCAGCCATGGGAGGTTGGGTGTGGGCGCACACTCATCACTAGAGGGCAGCTCCTGTGTTGAGCATCTGCCCCCTGGTGGTCAGTGTGCATCATAGCAGCCGGCCAACTGGTCGTTTGGTCGCTTAGGTTTTGATAGATAGATAGATAGATAGATAGATAGATAGATAGATAGATAGATATAGATATAGATAAGATGTCTGTGACTAAGAAGAGAATAGTTTGAGGAGAATATTGAGATTGGAAGGCAAGTGCAGACTAAGATGTTTGTCAGCAAAAGAAAAGTGAAGAGATGGTGTCAGGATCAAGGGGTTCAGGGCGGGGGTTGTTTTTTATTTTGACGACTTGCTTTTCCAGTTTGTGTGTTTGTTTGTTTTCACTTCATGACAACTTGAGCATGTTTGTCAGTTGGAGAAAAATGTCCGGTAGCTTCAGAGAATATACTGAAGTATAATTTAAAGGGAAAAACCAGCAGAGTAAGATCACAAGGGAAGAAGAAGGCAATAAAACTGAGGAGACCTGGAGACCGGTGACAAAGCAGAAGGATGCCTCTTTATCTGGAATTGGAAGACAAGAGTGGAAAATGGGTGAAAATGCTGAGAAATACTCAAAAAAAGAAGGTTTCCTCACTCACAACATAAAGTAGGTTCTATAGCAGTGATGGCGAACCTTTTGAGCTCGGCGTGTCAGCATTTTGAAAAACCCTAACTTAACTCTGGTGCCGTGTCACATATAGAAATTTTTTTATATTTGCAACTATAGTAAAACAAAGACTTATATTTTTGATATTTATTTTATATATTTAAATGCCATTTAACAAAGAAAAATCAACCAAAAAATGAGTTTGCGTGTCACCTCTGACACGCTTGTCATATGTTCGCCATCACGTCTCTAGAGCAACCATGTCAAACTCAAAGGCTAACATGGGCCAAATAAATGAGGCATGCAGCCCATGGGCTGAGAGTTTGACATGCTTGCTCTACAGTCCGGAGGAGGATGGCCAGGCTCAGAGAGCACACAGAAAGTGAGACAGTTTAGAATCAGAGCTCAGTGGAATGTGAGAGGGAACTACGGAGGGCAAAAGTTCTGCTATGCAGTCCAGGAGGACCCATTGCAGATGAGCTAAATACATTTCATTTAAATTTCTGGGATTCATTTTTGTGACTTACGCTGTGGGTTGTCAGCAGCTTGTGAACAAGAAAGGAAGAAAAATTGAAGTAACAAGGCAAAGCTCTTAGCTGTGTGTGTTGCTGCTGCTTCCCAGTGTCCTGTGTAGCTGGTGGGAATAGCCGGTCTGTCAGTCAGGAAGATCAAGAGTGATAGGAAGAGTGTTGCTGAAATTCATAGCATGGGGGTCTACTCTGGAAAGGGTGGTCACTGAGGCTGAAACACAGGAGCTGGGACGAGACACTGCTCCCAACACATTGTAATGGGAGAGGTAAGTGCACATTTGGTCAAGTCTGTGTACTTCATCCTTCCTCGAGGTAGGGGTAAAGGCACGGGGAAAACTCTCATTCTTTCTGAGGTAGACCTCAGACTTCCCTCCCCTTGATATCCAAGCTAATCAGAGGCGCTCTGCCCCACCCTCTACCACAGCTCAGGAAGCTATACCCAGGTGGCTTCTGAGTAGTCCTGGCAGAAGCTTTCACACGAAACACTGATATTAACCTCACCAAGACAGCTCAGGCACAAACACTAATTGTGTGCTTACTGAAGAGGCAAAGCTCCATAGTCACTGGGAGAACAGTAAACTTCCCATGCTCTCTCTGTACATGTGATTTGTGGCATTTTCTATCATCTCTGGAAGTGTGAGGGCCATGGTATTTACTCCATTAGACAAAGCTTCCACCAATGAAGAAATATCTTGTTTCATTAGTTTTGAGTATATTTGGTTGCCAATCAGGTTTTGATTTTCAGCTGAATAAACAATAAATCCAGGAAACTATTTAGGTGTAGGGTGCACTTGAAAA